GGATAGCTTTCTTTTGGTCACTCTTGGTGCACCTGTTTGTTGCTGGATAGCCTCTTTCTTTGACAGCTCACGTAGGACGTGGTATCTTCTTTGTACCTTTGGGTAGTAGCGAACTGCCTATGTTGGTCCTCTTGTTGCCTCTGAAAAGCTTGCAGATGGTCTCGGTATGCTTGGATGGTTACAATGTGTGAGTATTACAGTTTTAATCAGGCAAACGATGGATTTTTAGGACTCCGTGTTGTTTACCGGGATTTTTGTTTCTCTTTCCACAATGCACTGTATCACTCTTCACTATTACTCAATTTTCGGAGTTAGAAGCTTGCATTGATACTCAACGTTGCGGATAGAGATCCTCTATCGATCGATGTACGGTACCTTTGGCTTGCAACGTCTGTGTCAGGATCTATCTTGATCCCAGTTCAATGGCTTCTGCTCATCGTGATGTGACGTATCGAAATCTCGCGCGATTACACGATGACGTAATCCTATTCAACTCGATGAATAACAACCGGATTTCCTTGCTTCCACCACGTAACCTGTTCAGTTAACCGTGCTCTTTTCACTGTTATCTTCAGATGTACACAGATCCGGCCGGAAACTGTTAAATGGTCGTCGTACCTTGTAAATGGGATTTTCAATCTTGCTTTTGTCACGTTTCGTCTTTTAGAGGTGTTTCGTATCATTTATAGTGTAGCTAGAGGCTGAGTCTTCGCACCTCTACTCTGTTGCAGGTTTTGACTCACTTCAAGTCAAATCAACTTGCTTGGTTTACATTGATATCAATCTCGAGGTGTTGACTGTCGAAATCGAGATGAGACTTTTGTTTTTCAGTGTTATTTGCTATTAATACTGCAGCTTATTGGAGTAATTTGGTTTTATATTAAGCTGAAAAGAAAAAGTGAGTATTTTCTGGTGGTGCATAGCAATTCTTGTGATTGTATTGGATATAAGGACCCCAATAACACTTTAGACCTAAAAATCACTTGGTTCCTTGCATGATCAATTTACATGCGAACCGGACTAGATGATTAATACACGAGTTAATAGTAAAGAGTTGTCATGTATGTTTCCTCCAACAACTGCTATTGCAGTGGTCTAAAAATAGCTCTGCAATATTTCCCTTTTCTGTCAAAGCTTTGCTCGCGGTGGTTTGGTTAATTCCTTAGAGTAGGTGGTTTCTTTCCACTCAAGCGTCCACGCTGACTCAGTTGACTTGGGGCTTCCGGCAGCTGTTTCTACGACACGCTGCTTCTTCAGCTGGACATGGGCTAATCAGTTCAATGTCGGTTTCAAACGGTTTTGGCTAGGTGCACCAGATTGCACCTTCCAACGTTTTTGGATCCCAACGGTTATGGATTGGTGCACTAGATAGCACCGTTCCCAAACTCTAGCACTATCGTTTCGACACTGCACACACAGGTGTATTTAGTCGTCCCTAAATAGTCCTAGTGAACTGCCCATGTCATCCGGAGTGCGGACGGCTGAGGCGGTGGCTGGGAGTCGAGGAAGACTCCTATCGCCATGACTCTAAGCAGAGCAATGTGGAAGCACACTTGCTCCTGCCTGGACTGGTACGTCACCGTAGATAGAGTTAGGGTTTTCAAGGGGATGATCAGTCGGTAGGAGCCAATCCAAGCCACACATTGCATGTAGCCACCAATCGAAGAGGACAATGGCGTCCTTTTCTTTTAAGGGGCTACTCAGTTCAATGTCGGTTTCCAACGGTTTTGGCTAGGTGCACCAGATTGCACCTTCCAACGGTTTTGGATCCCAACGGTTTTGGATTGGTGCACTAGATAGCACCGTTTCCCAAACTCTAGCACTATCGTTTCGACACTGCACACACAGGTGTATTTAGTCGTCCCTAAATAGTCCTAGTGAACTGCCCATGTCATCCGGAGTGCGGACGGCTGAGGCGGTGGCTGGGAGTCGAGGAAGACTCGGATTGCATTGCATTGAATTCCAGTTTACTATACAAATAACAGTACTATTCTGAATCCAATTCAATCCAATTCAATCTAATCCAATGCAATCTAATCCAATTGAATCTTGTTTCCTGCAAAAATCTATTTTTGCCCCTTTTTCTTACATTCGCCACTCCTGTTGAGTACACTACCGCGCTATAGCAAGATTTGCCCATCCCCCTACAAACCGCCCCCGAGCTAGGTCGCTTTCCTGTTTAACAATATTTCTAAGCTAGAGAGTTTTGACCACGCGTTGTCGGGAAGCTGTAAACATATCTCTGAAAGAATCAGACTTGTCCCCAATTATCAAGAGGCCAAGATTTCACAATAGATCTTCTCCAAGTTGTGCACTACCCCTCGTGCTCCCCACGCTTCGTATTGTCGTATTGACTCTTTCAAGCGGTACCGAGCCTCCTCCTTATCGGACCGAGAATGAAGCAAAAAGTCGGCGTATCGCTCATTGAACAGGCCAGCATGGTGAAGATGACCTGTCCGTCCAGCCATGGCAATCGCCTTCTTGAACAAATCCTCGGCACAATCGTAACGCTTGCGGACAGCAGCTTGCTCGGCGTTCAAAAATATGCAGTAGTGTTCAACGTTCGGATTCCCTTGTTGTCGCCAATTTTCAATTTTCTTTCGCACCCTGTTGGCATGAGTGATATACTTCTTCTGTCTTGTGCGTCTTGCCATGGCATAGAGCGCCACACACCGATGAAAGGTTTCGGGAATGATCACTAAATTCGCCGGTATCAGCTTTTCATACACGTCTCCCAGCCGAATCGCACGTTTGGCAAGCGTCTCATAGTCTCCGTAAAAGAGCAAGAGCTCCCCCTCGGCATGATGTACCGCTCCAATACGCAAGGGCAAAGTCGACGTGAACTCTTGCTTACTAAACACGGCTCCCTCCAGTTGTTTCGCATGTGCTGATGGCAGTGTCAGATTAGCAATCAGTTGCCAATATATTCGACACAGAGTTTCTTGGTCATGTTGTTGTAGCTCGTCCAATTGTCGCCTCACTCCCGGGCAGCACTCTAGAATACTAGGCAAAGGCTTTCCCATTACATACGGGACCCAAACTTGATGCGACACCAGGGCCCAGGATGCAAACTCCGTTTCGCCTCGTCGCATACCGACTGTATAGCCTTTGGCAAAGCCGTCCAGACATGTGTGAAATGGTCTTCTCCAGGACAAGGAGAACATATAGGAATTGTGGAGGGTATCCGCTTCATTCGTCTTACCGACTGCCTGTTGAACGGCCAGTGCTTTCGTGCCGATCAAATCGGCGGCTTCAAGATCATTAAATACGCAGACCGCAGCCCCTGCCAAGCACGCAAACCCAGGTCCAGAAGCGTAACTGATCCCATGCTTCAAAGTCATGTTGACAATTTCACACAAGGCAATGGACACGAAGAGTACATCTGCAATTTGATACGATGCGTACTGCACACGCCTCAAGAGATGTACAATGGCCAATTGTGTGGGGTCAGTCATAATGCCCACTTCGTCGCGGATATTGTCTGGCGCTTTCTTGGCTGCCTCCAAGGTGCGCTTCATGACAAACACTGTTTGCACGAGCTTTGGAACTAGCTTCCATCGCAAGTTACATCCCAGCTCTTTTAGGGCGCCCAAACAGTACGTTATCATTTCATCGTACTTTAAATCAATAGAACTCAGCTTGTGGGCCATGGCCAACTTCAGTGGAAGCTTTTCGAGAACGGAACAATCTTCTCGTTTCAAAACTTCGTTGCTGTATGCCTCGGCTTCTTCGGCATTGCCCAGGGCCAGGTTCAACTCGGCGCCAACAGTATACAACCGCAGCGCTTGCGTCCGGTGGGTTGTCCACAATTCGCCTTTTGGAAGAAGACGAATCCCGTTGACCGCATAAATGGCGGCGCTTTGAAAGGCCGAAATGTTCCTCGCCTTGTCGGATGCCCTCAGGTTGATCTCTGCCAGTTCTGGATGTGGCTTGGCGTCACCTTGGTTGATTAAGTCGGCCACGTCAAATAGACGCTCGTCCAGTTCCTTTGCACTCAGCAGGTTATACAATTCAATACCAACTTTCAGGCGAAACGAAGCAGTTACCACATTGCCGAGCGATCCGGCAGCCTCTTGCACCTTGTCGTGGACCCATCGATACTCTTGGATACCGCAGCTTTCGATGAAATTTCCTTTCACTAAGGAATCCAGCATATATGCAATATTACCGGTATTGCAATCAGCTTCGTCTTTTGACTCCTGCACACGTCTGCCTTTTGGATCCCAAATAAGGCGCAGCGTGGAAGCTTTGAACGACGCCCCGAGGCAAGAGGCATACTGCAACAAGAGCTGCAAGTTGGATGGTAGTTTCCTCATTCTCTCCTGCAATAAATCGACGACATTGTCCGTCGCCATGGTCGCATTGTCAATCTTGTCCACATCCCAGGTCCACTTCAAGAGACCAAGATTAAAGGTGATGAATTCTTGTCGTTCGAGGTTCTTGATGAATTCAATAAGGAAAAATGGATTTCCGTGTGTTCGCTTGAAGCACACTTGTGCCAAACCTCGTGTCTTTTCTGGATCGTCCGTGTCCAGGATGGACATGACCATTCGGTTTGTGTCGTTGACTTGAAGACTCTGCAGCTCAATGGTGGTAATGACGAAACCGCCCGCTTCCTGTTTGGCCTTGAGACCGTGGATGCTTTTGGCGAGCATGTGGTCTTGGTCGACCTCGAAGGACCGGAAGCATCCCACAATGGCCAGTGCGTTCTGATTTTGATGATCGGATATCAAGTAATCAATGACCTCCAACGACTTGTGATCGGCCCATTGCAAATCATCCAAGACGAGAACCATGACCGAAGAGGAGGAGGAGAATTGCGCAGTGAGTACCCGTGTCAAGACGCGAAAGAGGTACTTCCATTTCTCTTGTCCCGCGCCAAACAAGGCTTCGGCGTCGTCCACATCGAGAGCCTTGGAGGTGACAATCGGAACAATGTCTTGCAGCTCTGGGACGAGGTATATTAACGACTGGACTTCGTCACCGAGCACTTGTGACAGGGCATCCCCAATTCGTTGCATGACCTGGGGCGGGCGATTGTGTACCAACGCCCGGCAGATCCTTCCAAAGGCTTGTGTAATGGCCGAATAGGGTTCGTGGGTACGGTACAAATCGAATTTTCCTTCGACGTAGATTCCTGACGCCGCGACAACATCCTTTTCAATCGTCTTGGCTAGCGTCGACTTGCCGACGCCGCTGTATCCCTTGATAAAGATGAGTTCCTTTCTTTTTCGTGTCGTACTACATGCAGTACTACTCGTAGTCATTCGAACAAAGCAATTCTTCAGGACTTGTACCTCATCTTCTCTTCCCACAACGGCGATCTTCGTGACATTTAACTTGCCGATGGTTAAATCGGAAAGTCGCCTCTTCAGGAGCTTGCGCTTGGCATTGCTTGGTTGCAGATTGAAGGATGAATCATACAGTTCAGAGGATTTCGAATCGATTCTCCAATCCAAAGAAGAAGAAGAAGAAGGAGTTGTAAAGGAGGAACTGGTCTCTGGAAACGTCGTCGACAATAAGCCATCGTTCTGGCTCGTTGCAACCATTGCAGTCCTGTCGTCTTCCCTTCGTTTCTGCTGGACTGAAGACTTACTTGATTTCATCTCATGCGAGATCGATTGAGCAGCGTTGCAACTGAGAATTGAGGGTGGAACAACGGTAGAACCACCGTCCATCTTACGTTACTGGCAGTACGAGGGAAAATAGTACCCCTGTGATAAATTAGGTCATCGTCTTTGTTGCCGGTCCCATGAGTAGGTACTTGATTAAGGTTGAGGTAATTGGCAATGACGGGAAGTCGAAAGTAGACTGAACATAAAAGTTGGTACAACTGTATCCGCCGACTTCCCTTCACCTGCCTATTTTAAAAAATACCACCGGCTACTAGCTAGTTGTAGCTTTCTTTAGCTAAGCTGGCTTTCTAGCTCGGCCACTCCATGACTTACTTGTTCCCTCTGCACCTCGAGGTAAAAAGGCTTCCCGGGCTTATATTGACCTTTTTATCATTTTCTGCATTGTCAATTCTATGAAATTGAATATCCGACAGGCTCTCTTCTTGATGCGCCCTGCGTGTTGGCTGAAGGTTGAGACTGCTGTCTTATGGATACTGTAAGACTGCCGTCTGAGAAGATGACTGTCTTAAGACTGCTGTCGGATAAGATGACTGCCTTAACTGTCTTAAGACTGCTGTCTGATCAGATTACTGTCATCACATTGGGTTCAGAGAGGCTTGGATTCTATTACTAACAAATAACACGGAGGAAAGTCGGCCAGGCACACTCTAGTTTTTTATATAGCTAAATAAATATCATTAAGACATCAACTTCAACCGTCGATAATTTGTGTGTTAGGGTTGAGGATAGTCGACTCACACCACCAACAAGAGCACCAACACCAACCAGCTTGCTTGTATCGAAGACAAGCCACAACAAGAGGACAATGGCGTTCATACCCGTCAGTCTCCAAGGCAACACAGGAATGAAGGATCCGGAGCAGCACCCACACACAGCTACAAGCAGTAGCCAACATCAGCAGGAACAGCACCAATGTCTGGTAGAGAGAAGAAGAGAGAAGAAGAGATGAGCGCATCACGACAACAAGCAACAACAGCAACAATTCACGATGGAGCCGACTCACTCTTCAGCCTCTTCGGAATTCAGTGCATCTGGGACAATCCTTTCTGGTATGTACCCTCATCGGAGTCGGAGTCATCGTTGAGATTGGCGCCTCCAAACTTCTCCTGGATGGCAGAGAAACCGACACTAGTATCCTCAGAAGCCATCGATTCATCCACAGACTTGTTGGCCTTGCCGGGAGTCTTGACAGTTTCCATGGAGACATCAACATCCTTCCACTTGTCATCGCTGTCATCGTCGCTGTCCTCTTTCTTAAGGAGGTTGGTGCTGTGGATGAAGTCCATAATCCTTTTCGCGGCCGCGGCCTCGGACGTGTCCACTGCCTTGGGCTTGGGCTTGGCCGATGCCTTGATCTTCTTCTCAAGCTGTTCCATCATCGCCGTAACTTCCTGCACTGTGACAAAGATACATTGGGAGATAGTCTTGAGGACCTCACCGGTGGCTTCATCCATCCTCGCGTTTGCATCTGCAATCAAATATTTTGGCATGTTGGGGAATTCCTCTTCCAAGAACCACTGCTTCGGAGTGTTCGCCCAAGTCTTACAAATGTCGTTGACTCTTCCGAGGGCTCGTTCGTTGACGACTCTGCGACGGTCGGTGTTGGCTGCTGCGGCGGCTTGGCTACTCTCGAAGCTTCCAATCTCCACGAGTTTGCGCCCATGAGCTACGTATTCCGCTTTGGTCTTGAACTTGATTTCGTCGGTTCCAAGATCGTCTCCATTTTTATTGAACCAGGTACGCTTGAGGGCTAGCTTCGCGTCGTCGGAATCGAAAGACACCTATGCAAACATAACAGGACAAATGAAAACAATGGTGAGGCGACAATCTGGATGGGTACGGTTTCGTTCCACGCTCACACAAAGACTCACAAATGTCGCTCCAACAGGCCCATCTTCGCTGACGTAGGTTCCGAAGAGTTGTTCGTCTTGACGGTTGTCTTGACGGCGACGGCCTTGCTGCTTTTTACGATTGCGGGACGCCATGGTCGAAGAGAGAGCAAGCAAGGTCAAGGAAGAAAGATCGAAGAGAGCAAGGAAGAACGATCGAGGAAAATGCCAGAGCTTCGCTTTTTCGAAGGCTGATGAGAGAATTTGTGAGAGTGTCGACAGTTTCGACTTCGAGCCTTTCAGCTTCGAGCCTTTTCTTCTTCGATCGACTGTCAACTTCAGTTCCGAGTCAACGGCAACACGAGTTGGCAGAATATTGAAACACATTGATTCACGTGCTTGTTGACTTTTCTTTGTTAGAGAACCACGTGCGATTGATCTTGGAAGACGGTTCGTTCAAGGGCAAAGTATTGATCAACAAGCGGAGAGTGTTCTCAACAATCGGAGCTCTTCTCGGAACGTGTAAAGTATGGACGCCTTCACGGGATCGAAGGTGGGCTAGCGTTGGATGCATGCGTTGCTTCCAGCTTCGAGCTCGAGGATTTCGAGCTTCGAATGAATCGACACGTACAATCCGTACCGGAACCTACAGCTCGATCCTCACTCATTATTTGCCATTCGATCTTCATTTCGACTCACTGACTCTCTTCATTATTTGGCTACTACTCGAATCTATCTCCGTAGCGTCCGTCAATTCGACTCTCTTCTATCTATCTATCTTTACTCTTCGACGATGAGCTTCCAACCGAGTGCAACAAACGGCGTAAGTGCTTGCTCCTTGGGATTTCGTGCGTGGCGTTACCCTTCCATCGACTATCGCCTAACTACTCCTTTGCTCTCTTCTTTACTCCTTCTTCCAGCTCGGCGGCGTGAGTGCTCCTTGGGATTGGTATCGAGGCTTGATGATACCTCCCCCCGTTGGAATGACTACTACGATTTTTACCATGTGGAGCCTGTGCAGAACACGATAGAAGGCTGCGCTGGGGCCAGTCGCATAGCGTGTGCTTGTAG